TATTAGATTGTAGCCCTGGCCATTGTGTTTTTGTTTGTTTGTTTGTTTTTTTGAGACAGAGTCTCCCTCTGTCCCAGGCTGGAGTGCAGTGGCATGATCTCAGCTCACTGAAACCTACACCTCCTCCCGGGTTCAAGCTATTCTCCTGCCTCAGACTCCTGAGTAGCTGGGATTACAGGCATGCACCACCATGCTCGACTAATTCTTGTATCTTTAGTAGAGACAGGGTTTCACCATGTTGGCCAGGCTGGTCTTGAACTCCTGACCTCGTGATCCATCCACCTGGGCCTCCCAAAGTGCTGGGATTACAGATGTGAGCCACCGCACCCAGCCTGTCCTGGGCATTGTTTTTGAGTTTTTATTCTCTGCCTACAATTTGGACTGAGTCTGAATTCTTTCCCAGATACAAGTCTCCAAACTAACATTTTTCAAATTTTTCTATGATTTTTCTGACTTGGACTCACTAAAAATTAAAATTGTGCTTTTGTTGAAGCCCTGCAAACTGAAGCTAGATAGCTTGATACAAACTCTAGGAGAAATCACCACAGCAACTTACGTAGAAACAGCCTTTGTGCTTGCTAACATATGCAATACTCAGAAAGTTCACCTGAACACCTGGTTCGAGTTACAATTCAAAAAAATCTGTCAGATCACCAGTGCAATCTGAAGATACTTTAGAGACTCTGCAAAAACGAGCTAGAGACTACTCCAAACATTAACTTTTGTTTTTCTTCTGTTTCCGTAGAAATAACTCTTACTAAAGATCTGTTTGCCTGTATCATAAATAGAGGCCTAGCCCATCTGCAGTGGCACCTCCCGGAATGGAACACAGCTGTTTAACCAAACTGATCTATTCTCAGAACTAAGACTCTGATTAATGAAGAATAATATATCTAAATTTGCTCTTTTCTACTTATCCAAATTTGTTTTTCAGCTCCTTTCTCATCTCTATCTAACAACCTTCAACTGAAATCTCTCCAAAGCTATCAACCTGACTTTTAATATTTAAAACGTTTTTAAGTTTTAAAGTGGGAACTGAAGGAAATAAAAGTGATTTACCCCAAAATATATATATTTATTTATTTTGAGATGGAGTTTTGCTCTTGTTGCCTAGGATGGAGTGCAATGGCATGATCTTGGCTCACTGCAACCTTCGCCTCCTGGGTTCAAGCGATTCTCCTACCTTAGCCTCCCGAGTAGCTGGGATTACGGGCATGCACTACCACACCCGGTGAATTTTTTGTATTTTTAGTAGAGGTGGGGTTTCTCCATGTTGGTCAGGCTGGTCTCGAACTCCTGACCTTAGGTGATCTGCCAGCCTTTGCCTCCCAAAGAGCTGGGATTACAGGCTTAAACCACTGTGCCTGGCCTTTTTTTTTTCTTTTTTTTGAGATGGAGTCTCGTTTTGTTGCCAGGCTGGAGTGCAGTGGCGCCATCTCGGCTCACATCTTGGTTGCTTCCCCATTTCAGCAATTATGGATAAAGCTGCTGTAAGCATCCATATGGAAGCTTTTGTATGGACATAACTTTTCAGTTCATTTGGATAAATACCAAGGAGCACAACTGCTGGATCATATGGTAAGAGGATGTTTAATTTTGTAGGTGTTGGAAATAAATGTTAGAAATAGATACTCGGTGCTGCAAAGAAAAATTAGTAGTGAGACAAAGGATCTTTCAGCAATGCAATTTTTACTTCCTGGACTGCAGGAAGGGTATTTCTGGTAGCCATTGTGCCACAAGAGTAGAAAGAACAAAGGGAATATGCATAAATTTATTCCTTGCTGCTGTGTCTGACCTCTGTTGGCTGGAGCCAGACCTCACAATCTAAACTAAAACTGAATTGGCTAACAACTTAAAACTTTTTTAAACAGGCAAAAGCAATGGAGAGCTAGGACATGCTTGTGAGCACATCTAGCATAGATATCTTGGTTAAAGTACAAGGACATAGAATGTACTACGTGCCTGTAGCATGTCTGTTTAACAGCTACATAGAATAGGGCTTAACAAAGAGTTATTAGCACACTTATGATTTTTTTCTTTTTTAAAATTATTTATTTATTTATTTTAAAGATGGGGTTTCACCATATTGGTCAGGCTGGTCTTGAACTCGGGACCTCAGGTGATCTGCTCGTCTCAGCCTCCTAAAGTGCTGGGATTACAGGTGTGAGCCACTGCGCCTGGCAGCATACTTATGATTCTGATAGCTGTAAGTGATATCTCACTGTTGTTTTAATTCACAGTTCTTTAATGACATATGATGTCAAACATCTTTTCATATGATTACCTGTAATCCGTGTATCTTATTTGATCAGGTGACTCTTCAGATCTTTTGCCCATTTTTTTGGGGGGGGATGGAGTCTCGCTTTGTTGCCCAGGCTGGAGTGCAATGGTCTGATCTTGGCTCACTGCAACTTCTGCCTCCTGGGTTCAAGTGATTCTCCTGCC